GAAGAGACTGATGTCAAAGGTGACATTGAAGCAGTGGGGAAGGAGGAGAAAAGGAATCTGAGCCCATTTCTCTCCTGTGTGTCCAGGGTGAGGTGAACTAAACGAAGCCAAAGTTGATGGTAATTGTCTCGATGTACTTTGCTATTGCAGAAGTGGCTATTGTCTCTCACAACACACAGGGCCACAATCAGGAAAATCACAGCACTGCGAGAGACTCAACACTTCGCACCAGAGGGGGCACAATTAGCACTCCCAAGCTGAATAGATTTAATTGCACATGTGTTGTGCTACTGATTCAGGTCAGAATTGTGCCCAGATTCATCATTGTACTGGTTAGCAGCAGTATTATGTCTGGGCTTTATTCAAATACAAAGTAATTAAGGCAACTGTTGGTGGCTTTACACATAGCAGAATGAATTATAAAATAAATACAAGAAGCTAATCCTCAGCAGCATTAGCATCACTGGTCTCCTAATGATCTTTAAGACCCACTGAGCCACCCCGTTCCTGTGCTCTCTAGACACTTCATCACCTGTCAGCATTCCCCAACCTTCTTCCATGAATATGGCTTTGGAAAAAGTCACAAGGAAGGAACCAAATTTAGCCTGTATCAAGATAAACGTAGGGAAGAGCTATCCCTTGGCACAGAGCACCCTCCTCCCTTTCTCCGTCTTCTTTCCAAGGATGCTCATCTTGAGCAGGTCTGGCATTCAAGAGGCTCAGGGTGGGTTTGCTTAGTTGGTTGGGATAACTCAAAAGGTTGATCCCTCAGTCAGACCAGTAAGAAATGTATGTGTCATAGGCAGCACCCAAATTTCCCTTGGAAGAGCTCTGAATTTCTCTTGGTCAGTCGAGTGTCATGTGCTGCTTTGGGGGCGATGCTGTACTGCCATGGCAAACTGCTCCTCTCCTGTGGGTGTAGGAGGGACATCTTACACGCTGGGAATGCTTTGAGACACTGCATTCAGACAGGATTTACTGAGTGAAAGACACTGAGCCAAAGTGAAAAATCCCCTCACTTCAGTCTTTGCAGCATGTGTCACTTGCAAGCAGCTTGTCTTTCCCACGTGCCCTGCATTGTGCAGTCAGTGATGTCACTATTTTGACAGGTTCCACATCAGAAGTCCTGCCACGTGCCCTCACAAGGCAAGGGGGATGGAAACCAGGCTGGGACCTGAGCTCTCCACTGCACTCAGGGCAGCAGCTTCACATCAGTAAGTAAATCTGTTATTTTCTCCTGGGTTCTCCCAGTGCTTGCACAGATGTAGTGGGATGGAAGAGCCTAAAGCATTCTCAAACAGTGACTGTAGGAGCTCAGTCAAGATCTTTCCTGTTCTGGAACGGGAGTCCAAGTATTCTGTAGTGCTCAGATCTTGCCCTGCCTGAGAGCACATCATCCTAGGACTAGATAACCACCTCAGCTTCCCAGGAAGCATAAGCTCTCCACTGTGGCTTTGTCTGGGTTCACCTCCCAGGTGTGACATGTGGGTGAGAAGTCAGAACAGGAGAGAACTTTGTGAGCCAAACATGAGGTGGTTAAGTTGTCATTGGTTTGTTTCACTGAAGTGTATTTATTCTGATGCACCACTGAGAGCAGTTTCTGTGGAACAGTCAGTGCAGCCAGCCTTGCAGGGATAACCTTCCACTCCTGCTCTTTGCCCACTGCTTTGCTGAAATCCCTCCCCAGGGCTGAGTTTTCAGATCTAATTTTGGATTAAATGTTGCAGTTTGGTTTTCTCTCTCCAGTTCCAATATATTTTCTCCAGTACTGTAACAATCACAGTCTATAAGAAAGTTACAAATTGCCTGAACAATGTCTGGAGAAAAAAGGTAAAATGTAGCAGGAACAGAGGAGAAAATAATGCTCAGAAAGTTTCTGTGCTGTGCAGTAGTTACCTTCTCATCCGTGTGTGCTGCAGCATGGCCCAGAGGAGGTGATATGCCACAGCCCAAGGGGAAGGTTTGCTC